CTGATCGCCACAGTGTCCCTGATCACCGCAGTGGCCCAGCAGTGTCCCTGATCACCATACAGTGGCCCAATCAGTGTCCCTGATCACCTTACAGTGTGCCTGTTCATAAAGTGTCCCTGATCTCTGCCACACCAGTGGATCCTGTTCACTGCCATCGTCTGTGAGGAGAGAGATCCAGTACAGCTAACTGTGAATAATTTTCAGCCTTTGCACAGAGTTTACACACACTCACAAAACATTGCCAGCCACCTCACTGTATCTCTGATTTTTGCCCAACAGTGACTAGTGTGAACCAACTGCAGCCAGATATCTGTCCCTCACTGCAACACCATCCTGATTACTGGCATACCAGTGGGTCCTGATCAGTGTCAAAAATATGGCCAAAAGATCATATACAAGCGAGGAGGCATTTCAAATTCTGAGTATGACAGATGAGAGTGACGGAGAACTTAAAACATACCTTGGGGTGTTTGCTTTCCAAAATGGGGTCTTTTTATGGATAATTCCATTGTCCTGATGCTCCAGGACCTCCAAAACAGCAATAGGTAGTTAAGAAATTAGATGTGCGATCTTTGCCCTTAGAACGCTAACAGGTGCTTATTGGATGTGGAACCCCTCTATGTGGCCAGACTGTGAAAAAGTCTAACATATTTGGTATCGCCATATTCAGGAAGAGTTAGAGAATGTGTTTTTGGGGTGTAACTTTAAGTATGCCTATGCAGTGTATTAGAAATATCTCATAGATTGACAACTTTGTGTAAAAAAAAATAAATTTTCATTTTCTTTTCACATTTTCCAAAAACATGTGGCAAAAAATGAAGTATTCAGAGGACTCCCCATGCCTCTTAAAACATACCTTGAGGTGTTTTCTTTCGAAAATGGGGTCATTTTGTGGGTAATTCAATTGTCCTGGTGCTCCAGGACCTCCAAAACTGTGATAGACAGTCAAGAAATTAGATGTGTAATTTTTACCCCTAGAACGCCTAAGGGTGCTTATTGGATGTGGGGCCCTTCTATGTGGTTAGGCTGTGAAAAAGTTTTACACATGTGGTATCGCCATACTCAGGATGAGTAGCAGAATGTGTTTTGGGGTGTAATTGCAAGTATGCTTATGCAGTGTGAGAGAAAGAACTTGCTAAATGACAACTTTGTGGGAAAAAAAAAAAAGAATTTTTTTTACTTTCATCATTTCCTTAAAAAATTGGCAAAAAATGACAACTTCAAAAAACTCCCCATGCCTCTCATTAAATACCTCAGACTGTCTACTTTCCAAAAAGGGGTCGTTTGGGGGGTATTTGTACTGTCCTGGCATTTTAGGGCCCCAAGAAATTATATAGGTAGTCCGTGCATCAGGATTGATACATTTTCAAATATATCAAATATATATACCGTGGTCTGTGGACTCTATAACTTTCACAAAGACTAAATAATACACACACTGATTTGGGTTATGTCTACCAAAAAAATGTAGCACAATGGATTTTGGCCTAAATTTATGAAGAAAGTATATTTATTTGCAAAATTTAGTATCAAATACTAAGAAAAACATGTTTTTTTTTTCAAAATTTGCAGTCTTTTTTCTTTTTTCTAGCAAAAAATAAAAACCCCAGTGATGATTAAATACCACCAAATTAAAGCTCTATTTGTTTGAAAAAAATGATAAAAATTTCATTTAGATACAGTGTTGTATGCCTGAGTAATTGTCATTCACAATGTGAGAGCGCCGAAAGCTGAAAATTGGCCTGGACAGGAAGGGGGTAAAAGTGTCCGGACAGGAAGTGGTTAACTGCAGACTGTCAGCTTTAATTTTGAGGGTATTTACATCCAAATCAGGTGAACGGTGTAGGAATTACAACAGTTTGCATATGTGCCTCCCACTTGTTAAGGGACCAAAAGTAATGGGACAATTGGCTTCTCAGCTGTTGCATGGCCAGGTGTGTGTTATTCCCTCATTATCCCAATTAAAATGAGCAGATAAAAGGTCCAGAGTTCATTTCAAGTGTGCTATTTGCATTTGGAATCTGTTGCTGTCAACTCTCAAGATGAGATCCAAAGAGCTGTCACTATCAGTGAAGCAAGCCATCATTAGACTTTGACACACATACACCTACCTCCTGGAGAGTGTTCTTGATCTGGCCAACTGTTGTGAAGGGTGTTTTCTTCACCAGGAAAAGAATTCTTCGGTCATCCACCACAGTTGTTTTCCATGGTGTTCCGGGTCTTTTGGTGTTGCTGAGCTCACCGGTGCCTTCCTTCTTTTTAAGAATGTTCCAAACAGTTGTTTTGGCCATGCCTAATGTTTTGGCTATCTCTCTGATGAGTTTGTTTTGTTTTTTCAGCCTATTGATGGCTTGCTTCACTGATAGCGACAGCTCTTTGGATCTCATCTTGAGAGTTGACAGCAACAGATTCCAAATGCAAATAGCACACTTGAAATGAACTCTGGACCTTTTATCTGCTCATTGTAATTGGGATAATGAGGGAATAAACACACACCTGGCCATGCAACAGCTGAGAAGCCAATTGTCCCATTACTTTTGGTCCCTTAACAAGTGGGAGGCACATATGCAAACTGTTGTAATTCCTACACCGTTCACCTGATTTGGATGTAAATACCCTCAAATTAAAGCTGACAGTCTGCAGTTAAAGCACATCTTGTTTGTTTCATTTCAAATCCATTGTGGTGGTGTATAGAGCCAAAAATGTTAGAATTGGGTGGATGTCCCAATATTTATGGACCTGACTGTAAGACTGCGCAGAAAATGCATGACAGTCAATGGCACTATTCAAATCTATTCATATCTGCAAACAGCATTTTACATTCATTTTTACAAAAATGCATCCATTATAGCAATGCGCAGTATAACAAAATGCACAATGCAATACAGTATTTTCATAGGGGGAGGTATCTTGTCTTCTTAGAAAATATGAACCACCCCTTTGTCTTTTGAGCACAGCAAAAATATAGCATGATGGATCTAAGACGTTACATAGAAAAAAAAAAAAAATCGAATTTGCTAACATTAAAAGCAGCTGTCACATGTCCCCCTTTGCCATCTGGGATCCTTGGCTCACAGTACCGCTGGACTGAGAAGAACTTACACATCATTATGTCACTGTGGTTTAGTTTAGGATTGCCCACCACCTGGAAAGAGAAATGACCTGTGACAGCACTGGATCATCCTAAAGACTGCAGAATGCAAAGCATGTATCTTATATAGCTAGTTGAAGAAAAAAAAAAAAAGGAAAAAAAAAAAAAAAAAGTATGTGGCAGTAATCTAGTTGAAGAAAAAACCCTAAAAAGCAGATGTGAATCTTCAGGAAAAAATATAATTTTGGTCACAGCAGCTTTTCACCATTATGCGTAAGTATGCAAAGCATACTTGGCAATATGGCACATTACCTGATAAAGTAGACCACCAACCTTGGCCAATGCTTCTATCTTTACCAAGTCGTCTTCTGGGTTTTTCAGCCATCCTGATGGCACCTGCATGCCACAACTGTACACTGAGGGGAGGGGTGTACCTTCCCTCCAATTAGCTCTCCTTGCGGAGATCTGCAGAGTGTAACTTTAGCTGCATGTCCCCTTTTTTCTGAAAGCTCACACGGCCAAGGCAACAAAGGAGTGGCTCAAGAAGAAAACACATTAAGGTCCTGGAGTGGCCTAACAAGTCTCCAGACATTAATCCGATTGAAAATCTAAGGGTGGAGCTGAAAGTTCGAGTTGCCAAACATAAGCCACCAAACCTTAATGACTTGGAGAGGATCTGCCAAGAGGAGTGGGCCAAAATCCCTCCTGAGATGTGTGGAAACCTGGTGGCCAACTACAGGAAACATCTGACCTCTGTGGTTGCCAACAAGGGACTTGCCACCAAGTCATGTTTTGTGAAGGGGATCAAATACTTATTTTCCCTCATGAACATACAAATCAGTGCATAATTGTTAGACATGAATTTCTTGATTTTTTTTTTTTTGCTATTCTGTCTCTGTGTTACAATACACCTACCATTCGATTTTTAGACTGATCATTTCTTTGAGTGGGCAAACATTCAAAATCAGCAGGGGATCAAATGTATGTAGGAAGATTTGTTTCATCTCTGTGGATCACCTGAAACCAGTCACTTCACTGTGTATATGTAAGGGGTTTACAACCAATTTAAGGTCCAGGAAGACCAGACTGTGGGCATGGTCAGGGTCACCTACAGACAGAAGAGCACAGAGAAAATGAAAATCCTACTTAGTAGACAGAGCTTACCTTGAAAACACTTCATGCTAATTCTCATAAAAAAAACCGACAAGAGAAAATAAATTAAAATCTTACTTTATTTTTACACAACATATTTTAAATGGCAAGATGATAAAGCAGCTGTGAACAGATTGTAAATAAGCCATTTCAATGTTACAACTCAAGCAGTGAATTTTAATCTACACAAATTGGTTAAAATAGATCAGATATTAGCTTAATCATGACAACCTATATCCTATGGAGTGGAAACAATTTCAACAAAGCAATTGAGCAGATGCCTGACAAGGAGAGTTGGAAAAATTCTAGATCAATGCTCATTGTTGAAAAAACTGGAACAGCTGTTTCACGATTAGAGATGAGTAAACTTCTTAAAACCAGCTCTGTAAGCAATTTGTATAGTTCACTCCTACAATCTGATTCCCTGGGTTAGTGATTAAAAAAAAAAAAAAGAAAAAAAAGTGGCCTCCCACCTAAATGATACCAACATGGCACACCTGGCAGACAGGACTGGCATCCTCTCCCGCAGCAAGGATATTTTTGCAATTATCTGCCACTCACGAGTCAGCAACCAATCAGCTACAGATTTAAAAATGTGACATCGAAGTGAAAACGCATCTTTTGACAGGTTTAATTTTTCCCAGGAGATACCCTTCTATATACCTCTCTGTGACGTACCGTATTTTACAATCCATAAGATGCACCTGACCATAAGACGCGAGGAGAAAAACAAGAAAAAAAATATTCTGAACCAATGGACTGCAGACAGTACAGGAGATGGACCAGGGACTGCGGACACAGTACAGGAGATGGACCAGGGACTGCGGACAGTACAGGAGATGGACCAGGGACTGCGGACACAGTACAGGAGATGGACCAGGGACTGCGGACACAGTACAGGAGATGGACCAGGGACTGCGGACACAGTACAGGAGATGGACCAGGGACTGCGGACACAGTACAGGAGATGGACCAGGGACTGCGGACACAGTACAGGAGATGGACCAGGGACTGCGGACACAGTACAGGAGATGGACCAGGGACTGCGGACACAGTACAGGGGATGGACCAGGGACTGCGGACACAGTACAGGGGATGGACCAGGGACTGCGGACACAGTACAGGAGATGGACCAGGGACTGCGGACACAGTACAGGAGATGGACCAGGGACTGCGGACACAGTACAGGAGATGACCAGAGACTGCGGACAGTACAGGGGTTGACCAGAGACTGCGGACAGTACAGGGGATGACCAAGGACTGCGGACAGTACAGGGGATGACCAAGGACTGCGGACAGTACAGGGGATGACCAAGGACTGCGGACAGTACAGGGGATGACCAAGGACTGCGGACAGTACAGGGGATGACCAAGGACTGCGGACAGTATAGGGGATGAACAGAGACTGCGGACAGTATAGGGGATGAACAGAGACTGCGGACAGTACAGCGGATGAACAGAGGCTGCAGACAGTACAGGACATGACCAGAGACTGCAGACAGTACAGGGGATGACCAGAGATTGCAGACAGTACAGGACATGACCAGACACTGCGGACCTTTAGGGAGGGAGGGGAAGCGGGTACCTGAATTTGACAGGTACCCGCTCCCACTTCCGCGGAGTCCTCCTTCCTATACTGTGGGCACCAGACTTTGACAGCCGGGTGCCCACTGCGCATGCGCGAGAAGCGCTGCGATTTGTGAATGACCCGGCGTCTTTTGAGACCTGTCATGTGTCCCAGAAGACACCAGACCATTCACAAAGCACAGCGCTTCTCGCGCATGCGCAGTGGGCACCCAGCTGTCACAGATGCCGGGGCAGGAAGAAGCCGGCGTGGGAAGACTTCAACGCTGGACCGAGGAACAGGCGAGTTCCTGCTGCAGAGAACAGCTGAGTGAGCGGCCGGCCAGGTATTCTGACATGGTGGCGGCGGAAATGCCGGACCGCCCGCTTTATATTCGCTCCATAAGATCCCTGACATTTTCCCCCCTTTTTTTGGGGGAAAAAAAGTGCGTCTTATGGAGCGAAAAATACGGTACATAAAATCTATGACCCTTACAAGCAAAATAGTATAGTTTAACCACCTCTCATCTGGCCGTTGTATATAAAACGGCCGGACAGTGGCAGTGCAGGGTCGGGCGGCCTCCCCACCCCCTGCTTGTGCACGCACACCCAGGGAGCGCTCAGCACCGCGATCCAGTGCCCGCTGTGTCCTCCGGACACAGTGGAACACCAAACGTCGGACGGGACCTCTGTGCGAGGTCTCGATCATGTGATCACTGAAAGGCCAATCATTGATCACACGCAGAGTAGTAAGCAAGATGTCACTTCTGACATCATTGCTTACTACGTGTGAAATCTGTGAATGATCACAGAGGTCACATGGTACAAGGCTATTCACAACAGCCTTGTACCATGTGACAAGCTGTGACCAATCACAGCTCACACAGTAGTTCTCAATGGCTGCAAGAATGCAGCCAGAGAAGGAGAAATGATTGCTTTTATAGTCTTTATGGGTGTAAAAGCAATCGGTGTAAAAAAAAAAAAAAAAAAAAAAAAATCTTCACCCCACACAAGTAGTTTACATAGCAAAAAAACAAAAAATCCAGTGGTGAATAAATACCACCAAAATAAAGCTTTATCAGTCTCAAAAAAATGCTAAAAAATGTATATGGGTACAGTGTTGCATGACTGCGCAATTGTCATTTAAAGTGTGATAGCACATTGAATGACAATTGGGGGTGAAAATGTCCAGATATGAAGTGGTTAACTAAAAATGAACCCTCCCTGGCTAGTAACTCGCAGAAGGGCATCTTGAAATATTTTGACCCTTTTCACATTTACAGTTTACAAACAACACTAAATTGTGCCAGGTCTAGCTGCAAACACCCCCTTGAAAACATACACATCAAAAGAAAGTGGGCCAGCTTTTTAGTCTTCTGAATGAAACAGCATGAGGGGATTAACCACTTGCCTACCAGGCACTTATACCCCCTTATTTACCAGGCCAATTTTCAGCTTTCAGCGCTGCCGCACTTTGACAATTGCGCGGTCATGCAACATTGTACCCATATGAAATTATGATCATTTTTTTCTCACAAATAGAGCTTTCTTTTGGTGGTATTTAATCACCACTGGGCGCTTTACTTTTTGCGTTATAAATAAAAAATTGCAAAAAATTTGAAAAAAAAAAAGTTTCTTTGTTTCTATTATAAAATTTTTCAAACAGGTAATTTTTCTCCTTCACTGATGTGCATTGATGAGGCAGCACTGATGGGCACTGATAGGCGGCACTGATGGGCACTGATAGGCAGCACTAAAGGGCACTGATAGGCAGTACTAATGAGGTGGCACGGATAGGCGGCACTGATAGGCAGCACTAATGAGGTGTCACGGATAGGCGGCACTAATATGCAGCACTGTTAGGCGGCACTGATGATGGGTACTGATAGACGGCACTGACTGGCACAACCGCTGGGCACTGACTGGTGGCACTGGTGGGCGGCACTGGTGGGTGGGCACAGGTGGGTGGCACTGGTGGGTGGGCACAGGTGGGTGGCACAGGTGGGCACAGGTGGGTGGCACTGGTGGGTGGCACTGCTGGGCACAGGTAGGTGGCACTTCTGGGCACAGGTGTGACACTGCAGAGTGGCACAGGTGGGTGCACTGCTGGGCACAGGTGGGCGGAGCTAGTGGGCGCACTGCTGGGCGGAACTTGTGGGTGGCACTGCTGGGCACCGATCATCAGGGCACTGATCATCAGTGCCCTGATGATCGGTGCCGATCCTCGCTCTGACAACTGCCGGTTCTCGGCAGTACTTTCCTCACGATCTGACAGCGTGAGGAAAGTGCAGCCGAGAACCGGCACTTGCATTTCCCTGTGATCAGCGTGTCATTGGACACTGCTGATCACGTGGTAAAAGGCCGCTGTGATTGGCCTTTTACCACATCACGTGATCAGCTGTGTCTGTAGGACACAGCGATTACGGAGATCGCCGGGTGCGCGGAGAGCGCGTTCTGGGAGGACGTCATATGACGTCCACTCAGAACTGGCCGGCCGCAGTGCAGCCGTCATTCGGCTATCTGCGGTCGGCAACTAGTTAAGCAGAAAAAAAGCCCAGACTGGATCAAGGTTTAAAGGGCAAAAGGAATATGGGTCAAAACAGGCAAATAATAAAATGGGGCACGAGTGACATGCATTTTCTTATGGAGATGTATTTCCCAAAACCAGATAATAGTGTCAAAGCATAGTACACTATCAAATATAAAACACACAGTTAGGTCCATATATATTTGGACACAGGCACAATTTTCATACTTTTGATTCTGTATGCCACCAGAATAAATTAAAACAAAACAATCCAAATGAATTTGAAGTGCAGACTTTCAGCTTTAATTCAAGGGGTTGAACATAAATATCAAGTACAAATTTTAGGAGCTGCAACCATTTTTATACACAGTCCCTCCATTTTCAGGGGCTCAAATATAATTGAACAAAATGAATATAATGATAAATAAAATGTTCATTTTTAATGTTTTGTTGATAATCCTTTACTGGCAATGACTGCCCGAAGTCTGGAACCCATGGACATTACCAAAGACTAACTGCAGCTGTCTTCAGTTCTTTGTTCGTGGGTCTTTCTGCCTTTAGTTTTGTCTTCAGCTAATGAAATGCATGCTCAATTGGGTTGAGATCAGATCAGGTGATTGACTTGGCTATTGCAGGATATTCTATTTCTTTTCCTTCAAAAGCTCCTGCGTGGCTTTTGCAGTGTGTTTTGGATCATTGTCCAGCTGTACTGTGAAGCGCAGTCCAATCAACTTTGCTGCCTTTGGCTGAATCTGGGCTGACAGTATATCTCTAAACACTGCAGAACTCGTTTGACTGCTTCTGTCTCATCATCAGTAAACACCAATGACACAGTGCCACTGGAAGCCATGCATGCCCATTCCATCACAGTTCCTCCACCATGTTTTACAGATGACGTTGTGAGCTTTGGATCATGAGCTGTTCCAAGCCTCCTCCACACTTTTTTCTTCCCGTCATTCAGGTACAGATTAATCTTAGTTTCATCCATCCAAAGAATGCTTTTCCAGAACTGGTCTGGCATTTTTAGATGTTTTTTTGAAAAAGTCTAATCTGGCTTTTCTATTCTTCAGGCTTATGAATAGTTTGCACCTTGTGGTGAACCCTCTGTAATTGCTCTCGTGAAGTCTTCTCTAGATTGTAGACTTTGACAAGGATACATCCACCTCCTGGAGAGTGTCCTTCACTTGTCTTTATTTTGTGAATGGGTATCTCTTTACGCTCTTGCGATTATCCACCACTGTTGTCTTCCGTGGATGTCCATACCTTTTTATGTTGCTGAGCTCACCAGTGCGTTCTTCTTTCCTCAGAATGTACCAAACTGTTGATTTGACCACTCCTAATGTTGCTGCTCTCTCTCTGATGGATTGGTTTCATTTTTGAAGCCTTACAATGGCCTGTTTCACTTGCATGGACAGCTCCTTTGAACTCATGATGTAGGTTCACAGCAAAAGATTCCAAATGCAAATACCACACATAGAATCAACTCCAGACCTTCTACCTGCTTAATTGATGAAGAAATAATGAAGGAGTAGCCCACACCTGGCCATGAAACAGCTTTTGGTTTAAATGTCAATTTACTTTTGGTCCCTTGAAAAAGGGGGGCTGGCTACACTTAAGAGCTATAATTCCTAAACCATTCCTCCAATTTGGATGTACATACCCTCAAATTAAACCTGAGAGTGTGCACTTTCAGCCCATATCCTTTCACATACAACCATTTTCTTTTAATATGTCATTTAATGTACAGCATATCCTCATGCTTTGTGTCTCAGTCTATTCCTCTTTTCATACACTGCTATAAAAAAAAAAAAAAAAAAAAAAAAAGCATAATGGCTTACTGATCAAGAACAGAGAAGTCATTTGCGAGAACCACTTCTCTTACACTTTTTAAAAATCAGTATTTCTTTTGCTAGAAAATTACTTAGAACCCACAATAAATTGTGTGTGTATTTATTTTTTTTGCAGAGGCCCAATTTATAGGTCACACGGTATTTCAAACGCAATTTTTTGGGGAAATACACTAATAAAATTGTTTAAAAAAAATACAATACATAACTAAATTTTTTTTCATGCATTAAAATTGCTCACGCTCATGGAATGGCACCAAACTACGGTACTTAATCTCCATAGGTGACCTTTAAAAATGTTTACAGGTCACTTGTTCAGAGTTACAGAGGAGGTCTAGCACGAGAAGTATTGCGCTCGCTAGATACCTCACATGTGGTAAACACTATTTACATATGTGGGCTCGACCTACGTATGCGAGCATTGGGGGGGCAGGGGGCTCTTTAAAAAA